TGTCTGGAGGTAAAATGAGAAGGCAAAAAGGGACAGGAGCTGGTTTCATGGACACGGGAAATGTGGAGAGGAAAAGAGGAACTTGCTGCCACATTATAGGAAAAGCAGCTAGGATCACGTAGCAATGTGTGTATAAATTTTTGTATAAGAAACTGATTTGAACTGTAAACTTTCACTTAAAGCACAACAAAAAATTTTTTAAAAATCTAGAAATAGAAGTACAATACGATCCAGCAATCCTACTCCTTGGAATATACCCTACAGAAACAAGGGCTGTCACACTAATAGAGACATGCACACCCATCTTCATTGCAGCACCGTTCACGATAGCAGAAAAATGGCAACAACATAGGTGCTCATCAAAATATGAATGGATAAACAAATTATGGTATATTCACACAATGGAATACCATGCAACAATAAAGAACAAGGATGAATCTGTGAAACATCGCATAACATTGATAAATCTTTAAGGCATAGTGCGGAGTGACATTAGTAGGACGTAAAAGAACAAATATTGTATTATATCACTATTATAAGATCTCAAGAAAAGGTTTAAACAGAGAAGAAACCATTCTTTAATGGCGACAAGGGTGGAGAGTGGTATTCACTAGCTAGATAGTAGACAAGAATGGTCTTAGGTGAAGGGAAGGACAACACACACTACAGGGGTCGTCAGCAAAACTGGACCAAACCAAAAACGAAGTACTTTCTTAAACACAACCAAACACTCTGGAGACAGAGTTGCAAGGGTGGGGGTCTGGGACCATGGTTTCAGGAGACATCTAGGTCAATTGGCATAACAAATTTAAGAAAATGTTTTGTATTCCATTTTGGTGAGTGGCGTCTGGGGTCTTAAAAGCTAGCGAGTGGTCATCTAAGATTCATCAATTGGTCCCAAACCACCTGGAGCAGAGGAGAATGAAGAACTCCAAAGACACAAGGAAAATATTAGTCCAAGAGACAGAAAGGACCACATAAACCAAAGACTCCGTCAGCCTGAGGCCAGAAGAATTAGATAGTGCCCAGCTACCACCAATGACAGCCCTAACAGGGAACACAACAGAGAATCCCTGATGTAACGGGAGAAAAGTGGGGTGCAGAACTCAAATTCTAGTAAAAAGACCAGACTTAATGGTCTAAGACTGGAGGAACCCCAGAAGACATGGTACCCAGACTCTCTGTTAGCCCAGAACTGAAAGTATACCTGAAGCCAACTCTTCAGACAAAGAATAGACTGGACTATAGACATAAAATTATACTGGTGAAGAGAGTGCTTCTTAGCACAAGTACATACATGAGACTAAATGGACAGTTCTTGTCCAGAGGTGAGATAAGAAGGCAAAAATGGACAGGAGCTGGTGGAAAGGAAGAGTGTGCTGTCATATTATAGGGAGAGTAAATAGGGTCACATAACACTGTGGGCATAAATTTTTGTATGAGAAAATAACTTGAACTGTAAACTTTCCCTTAAAGCACAATAAAAGAAATAAATATATGCTCTTACTTTTATGAAATGACATGAATAAGTAAATATACAGAAACTAATGTTCATTAGTGGTTACCAGAGATTGAGGGGAGGGGAGTTTACTAACCAGATATTAGATAATTGCTACTTTTGTTGATGGGAAAGTTAACAATGCATGATGGTGGAGTGTACACAGCTTGATGAATGATGTCACTAAAAAGAAGGACCTGTTGGTAATTGCTATGGCATATATAAGTTTAAAACAATAGCACAAGCAACGTAAAATATATGTGTGGGTATATAAGTATGTATGTATGCATATATGTGTATAGGTGTGTAGATATATAAGTGTATGCATATGTATATGTACGTGCATCTGTGTGACTGTATGCATATATATTCATATGTATAATAAAACATGTATGGGGCATAATGGATACATCTTAGACCTAACCAAACACCTCACAGGATAGGATTTCTGGTGTCATAGATTGAATTGTGTCCACCAAAAATGTGTTGTCAACTTGGTTATGCCATGATTCTCAGTATTATGTGATTGTCCTCCATTTTGTGATTGTAATTTTATGTTAAAGAACATTAGGATGGGATTCTAACGCCCTTATTAAGGTTGCAACCCTGATCCAATATAAAGGGAGTTTCCCTGGAGCGTGGCTTGCACCACCTCTTATCTTACAATAGATAAAAGGTAAAGGAAGCAAACAGAGAGAGGGGAACTCATACCATCAAGAAAGGAATGCCAGGAAAAGAGCACGTCTTTTGGACCCGGGATTTCTGCTCAGAGAATCTCCTAGTCGAGGGGAAGATTGATGAGAAGGACCTTTCTCCAGAGCCGACAGAGAGAGAAAGCCTTCCCCTCTAGCTGGCATCTTGAATTTGGACTTCTAGTCTTCTAGACTGTGACAAAATAAATTTCTATTTGTTAAAGCCATCCACTTGTTGTATTTTTGGTATAGCGGCACTAGATGACTAAGACACTGGGTTTGGACGATTAAGTCCATAGTCTTATTGGACATCTTGGTCAATTGGCATAATATAGTTCATAAAGTTATGTTCTACATCCTAGCTTGTTGAGTAGTGTCTAAGATCTTAAAAGCTTACGAGCACCCATCTAAGATAAAACTATTGTTCTCTGTTCATTCAGAGAAAAAAGAAAGAAGGAAACCAAAGACTCAAAGAAGAAAGTAGTCTACAGGATTAATAATTCTACATGAACTATGGCCTCATCTACAGTGAGACCAGAGGAGATAGATTGTGCCAAGATATCACTATATACCATTGTAATAAGGGCCACAATAGATGGACCATGATGGAACAGGAGAAAAATATGGAACAGAACCTCATATTCCTGAAAAAAAAAACAAACAAACCAGACCTACTGGACTGGTTGAGACGGAAGGAATCCCTGAGAATATTATGCTGAGATACTCTTCAAAACTTGAATCAAAACTAACACCTGAGGTTACCTTGTAATTAAATAACAAACTGGCTCAAAAATTATGAATATCACTTGCAAGTACTGTGCATTTTTAACAAATAACCTATACTAGATCAAATGGTCAACAATTACTTCAAAACAAAGAAAATAATGTAATGAAGCTGGGAAATTAGATTAATGGAAACAGAACAACCAGAATGGAAATAATGAGAATGTACACACATTGTGAAGAATGTAACCAATGTCATTGAGCAAACTGAATATTATTGAATTAGAACCTAAACTTCTACAGAAACTTTCACCAAAAACACAACAAAACACTATTTTAAAAAAAGACGAAGAAGAAGAAGAAGATTTCCCTCTAGGGTAAATAGTACAGGTCCTCTGAGCAGCGAACAGTAAGTGGAATTATCGTGCAAGTATATCAGTCTTCAAGAGAACTACCTGAAGGAACTGAGGCCCCACAACAGGAAAATCCCAGAGTCTAGGACTTGGCATGTAAGATGATGGAGAGAAAGGCAGTGAGGCGAGGCAGTGTGAGATGAGACCTAATCTACCACACAGGAGGAAATGGGGTGTGTGCTGCAGGGGCTAAGGAAAACCAGGCACAGGAAGAACCTCAACCTCAGGAGCAATTGCTGAGGGAAGGAACAGGTTTCCTCTCAGGGTCTGGGGCCTTCTCATTCCTCCTGCAGCTTCCCCCGCCTCATGGTTCTGAGACTCCTTCCTGTCTCTGACACTCATGAGTTAGATTTGTTAGAGTAAAAATCTAAGACAAATTACCTAATAAGCAAGGCACACATGGGCTTAGTTGTGTTTATTTACTAATCTGTAGTGCACAATTTTACCTGGGTTTCACCACATCTTTGATTTAATCTGAAATTGTGCACTACAAATTAGTAAGTAAACACAATTAAGCTCATGTGTACCTTGCTTACTGTAAGCCATACTGTGCTTACTGGTTAATCCACCCCTGAGACAGCAGAGAGCAGAATGTCATGGAGAAGGAGAGACACCAGGGAATTTTCTCTGGCCCCTTGTTTGTGTTCTGAGGGCCCCAGAATGGTCTCCGTGTCTCCCCATAAGAAGGGAACTGAGGAAAATATCTCAACATAGTGTTTGCTTGGCTTTCTGGCTAGAACAGAGATGTTTAGGGACAGATTCCGAACCAAACCCAGTGCCATCGGGTTGATTATGACTCCTAGCTACCCTGTAGGACAGCGTAGAAGGGCCCCATAGTGTTTCCAAGAAGTGCCTGGTGGATTCTGACTGTGGACCCTTTGGTTAGCAGCCAAACTCAACCAATACTCCACCAGGGACAGATTAGAAAACTAAAAAGGGTGAAATGTTCTCCATATTGAACTTCAGACTTCTTATGACCAAAGTTATATTGTCAAAACAAAAGAAAGGAACAAGATCCAAGTTTAACATGAGGACTCAGTGCCTGAGACCCTCATCTTTGACTTGAAAGTGTGTGGACATGATAGACACCTTTGAGTTAAAGCCCACATTCCCTGAGAACTGGACCCCTCCTCAGGCAGTAAAAAGTGCAGGGCAACACCAGGGTTTTTAGGGCCCACCTTGCAGGTCTATCTGGAAGGGGCCATCTGGAAGGCCAGAGTCCTCAGTACCCTATCTAAAGGCACTTTATAACCTCAACATAACCTGGATCCCCCCTCAGAAACTGAAGCCCCCAGTCTCCTCAGAATACAGATTCACAGAGACCTCCATCCAACCCTCCCCCCAGTGTGGGCTGAGAGATACGTTGGGGTGGAGGAGGCACTGCTTTGTACTGTCCATGGCCAAGGTGCCAGTACCAGTATGTTTGTGTTTGGGAGGGAAGGGAATGGGTATTGGGACCTTGTCCTATCCCTTTCATGAGTCTCAAGACCACTACCTTTCCCTGCTTTGGGGTTTTAGACTTATAAGGTCTGAGGAGTCTCACCCTGAGAGCTGGGCAAAAATATGCAGAGTGAGGGATATCCTATTTAAACTCACAGTCTGCCTCCACAGGGATGTCTCCCTCACCAACCAGCTGGGGACCTCAGTGCTGTCTCTTTCCATCCTCATTTTAAGATGTGGTCTGCCACCATCCTCACTCTCCTCATGGCTATTCTCTCAGGTCAGGGCTGGTTCAAGGTTTGAGGTCACGGAATGGCTGAGAGAAAGAACCTTCTGATCTCTGAGTCCTGTCTCCACAGGTGTCTGTGCTCAGGTGCAGCTGGTGAAGTCTGGGGCAGAAGTGAAGAGACCTGGGCAATCTTTGAGGATCACCTGTGAGACGTCTGGATACAGTTTTACCAGCTACTGGATCAGCTGGGTGCGGCAGATGCCTGGGAAGGGCTTGGAGTGGATAGGAATGATATATCCTGGTGATTCCGATACCCGCTACAGCCCGTCCTTCCAAAGCCAACTCACTATCTCTAGGGACAACTCCATCAGCACCACCTACCTGCAGTGGAGCAGCCTGAAGGCCACAGACACAACCATGTATTACTGTGCAAGGAGCACAGTGAGAGAAACCACATCCCGAGAGGGACAGAAACCCTCAGCCAGCTGCAACTACGGAGCAGCAATCTCAGAGGCACCTCCATCTGGAACTTCTCAGTTCATCACCATAGGAAACACTGTTAGCTGTGTCCTCAGGAGTGAGAAAATGAGAACAGGACCATAGCCCTAATGCTGATACGACAGGGACTCGCTCCTGGGGACACTGATGCTTCTTGTTGAAATGTGGTATCTCTAGAGCAGCTCACACTGTGTCCTCTAGCACATTTTCCCTATAATGTTTATTACAGGGTGGACATAAAATGTCTACCTAATACATGCATATTAAATTCAGCAAACATTTTAATTAGTGAAAATTATACACAATCCATTATTGTCTTCCTTCCATCTTTCTTTCCTTCTTCCTTCTTTCCCTCCTTCCTTCCTCCTTTCCTTTGTTCCTTTCTTCTTTCCTTTCTCGCTTTCTTTCTTGCCTTATGTCATGAATTTCCCCTTGTGTTTGTTGTGGTTTTTGTAGTATCATTGTTTGTACTGACTGGTTACTCTTTGTCAGGGTGCATAAGATTAAGAAAGGCTTTTCTTCTAAGTAATTTTAAGAATTGCTTTTTATCATTTATCTATCTATCCTTATTTCAATATCTATTTTTTTTTTCCTACCACCTTTAGTATAAACATCATCTAAGATCACCTTGAGAAGCTGTTACTCAGAACTGGATAACAATTTGCTCTGTGTTCCTTGGTTCTGTGTTAGGTTGGGGGCTACAATCCCCCAGGATGCGTATCCACAGCTGAAAGTGACCAAGAATGCACTGTGAGTGAAAGAGTGCTGCACTTATATCCCGTAATCAATATGAGTCCATAGCAAGTAAGCCCTTCTATTAAGGATGATGGAAAAGTTTGGGAACAGATAGTTGTGATGGTTGCACAACATGATATATAATGGTTGATCGGTTGAAATCAAATGAGGAAAATCTCTGGAAAGATGAATCAAATGCTGAGGGGACAAAATGTTTTGTTGTATTTGCCTCCATTTTTGTGTAGGAATAAGAATCTATTACTCAATCCATATGCTGCAAAGTCTTATTTTTAACAGAAAGCAGAGAGATGAAGAAAAATATTCAAATTTAATACACTCCTGAAAGTGTGCAGTACTTTGCAGGAGGAAATAGACTCTCCACTTCTTTCATCCTGGTTCACTGTGAGAGGAGGAGGCACCTCCACAGACAGAACTTCTATCAAACATATAAAGGCTGGTGTAGGCTGGAGCCAAGGACTAGAACCCTAAAGTACACTTAAAGCCCAGAAGGGGTCAGGAGAAGGGGCCCAGGAGAGGGGCCAGAGAGCCTCATCACTGAAGTGTTTCACCTGAGAAACACTAGGCATGTGGGGAGAGCTGAAGAAGACGGATAGCACACTAGGTGGCGCAAGTGCATGGGAAGTAAAGCCGTGTAACAAGACAGTTCCTTTACAGAATGGAGTCACCAAAGAAATGCTCATTTCAAAATATTTCTTCTGTGATCCACATGGAAAAAATAAAAGTTTGTTAAAACCTCCTCTTTTCCAGTCTTTGTGTGTCTCCATATCAATCAGAGGGTTTTCAATCAGGCACTGGAGTGAATGTGGGCTCCATCCTCAGAACACCAGCCATAGCATCTGTCCCTGTGCCCTTCACAATCATCTGCACTTCTGTGTTTAGCCAAGGTTAGTGCAAACCTGTCCCAGGCATCTGGATGAGATTCAACAGGGATTCTTAGCAAGTAGCTCACCCAGGACTCACACCACAGAGATGCAACAGATGCCTGCCTCAAAGGAAGGGAAGACAGGCTTAGAGACTGAGCTGAAGTCCACCTGGTGAACTCTAAGTATGTCCTTGTGTCCTGTGTCTTGACATCAACAGGATTCAGCTACATATTCTCATACTTCACACCAAGTCCTGGCTGAGAGTAGAGAAACAAATAACTATGTCTCTATATGGAGAACGGCATGCACATATGTCTGCTTCCTCTGCTGATGAAAATCTACCCAGCTCCTGACCCTGTGACTATAAGGGAAGCCCAGTCCAGTGTCTGAGATTATCTTCACTACTCTGAACCCAGCACAGAACTGGATCCCCACCATGGAGACTGAGTTGGGGTGGGTTTTTCTCTTCTTGCCATTTTACAAAAAGATTATCTAGCAAAATAAGAACACTGATTTGCGGATATGAGAGAGATAGAAACAGAGACAGAGAGAAAGTAGAGGCTCCTAAGCCCATTGCCTCTGTGTTTGCAGGTTTCCGGTGTGAGGTGTAGCTGGTGTAGACTGGGGGAGACACCAGGCAGACTGGGAGGTCTCTGAAACTCTCCACTAAAGCCTCTGTATTCACCTTCAGCAGCTTCTTCAGCAGCTAGTTGATGAACAGGTTCCACCACGTTCCAGGAAGGGGCTGCAGTGGATGGCTGTGACGAGTCCTGATGGAAATACTAAGACATAGACAGACTCTGTGTAGCACTGATTTACCATCTCTGAGACAAAGCTAAAAACACCCTGTATCTGCAGATGAGCAGTCTGAGACGAGAGGACATAGCCATATGTTACTGTGTGAGACACACACACATCAGAGAGTATTGACATAGAGCTCTCCTGCAGGAGGCCCCAGGAGGCTGGGATGGTGTTGGTCATGGGTACTTACGCCATCTGTAGGAGCAGGTGCAGAGGGAAGGGCAGTGCTCCTCTGACGACATGTGATTTCCTCTTGAGCCCAGAAAGTAGTTTCTCTGGTGACTCCAATCTTCATAAAACTTTCGTAAAACTGTCATTTTAATTTGATCCTCTGAGGCAACTAATTTTTCATACCTAAAAGCATTTCATAAAGCATGTCATCCCAGTGATGAGCTAAAATCAGATCGTCTCTTGTGTCTGAATGGGAAGCTGAGGCAAGAACCAGAACTTGGAAAAGATAGGTAGATGGCAAGGATAAACAATGTGAGAGATAATCGATTTGAGGCACATCATGTTTCCTTGATAATTTTTTCCTCTACCCATTGTTTCCTTTCATTTCTCCTGACATACTGAGGAATATTTAGTGACCTTTTTTAGTATTCTTTATTATTACTGAATTTTATTCTTCACTGTGACTCTCTGGGTTTACTCCTTCTTTGACCAAAAAATTCTCATTAGTATTAGTATATGTAATAGCTAAGCAGCAATACATGCCTGGCATACCTCACAAAAGTTCCTTCTCCTGTTTTTTATCCCCCCTTTCTTTTTCTATTGAATTTAGATGAAAGCTTACAGAACAAACTAGCTTCTCATTAAACAATTAATACAGATATAGTTTTATGACATTGGTTGCCAACCCCATGACATATCAACACTCTCCCTATCTTGAACTTGAGTTCCTTATTACCAGCTTTCCTCTCCCCTCCTGCCTTCTTGGCCTTGTCCCTGGAATGATGTGCCCAATTGGTTTCATTTTGTTTAATGGGCCTGTCTAATCTTTGGTTGAAGGGTGAACCTTAGGAGTGACTTTATTACTGAGCTAAAAGAGTGTCCAGTTAATCACAAGGTTTCCCCAGTCTCTGAAAGACCAGTTAAGTCTGGTCTTTTTTTTTTTTTTTGGTGCTTTTACTGATTTTTGACACTATTAGCTGTCTGATACAGTGAAGTAATTTTAATATTTTCTAAAGCTCTGTTAGTCATTTTTGGTGGATGAATGGTACAAAATTTCAAGCTACTAATTAAAGACCCTCACTTATATTTATTCCTGTAATATTTTAAACTACTCTTAGAATGTAATAAACAGACATTTAACCAACAGAGAGAATGTATCTCTTCATGAAATCCTTACAGATACACTGAAATGAAGAACATTGACCATTCTTCGGGATACAGAGCACTAAGGGTGATGAGCTCTGGGGATACTCTGAGCAGAAGAGCATGTGTCCACGTCCATTCCTCAGAATACAGGGCAGGAAGGATGGTGAGCTATAGGGAAACAGTGAGAAGAAGTCCATGTATTTATTCCTGAGGATACAGGACAGGGAGGGTGGTGAGCTCTGTGACTGCATTTTGAGACTCAGAAGACAGGGGTTGAATGACCCTCTGAAACAATTTCCCTGAGGTAATCTTTAAACTGAACCCTGGTAGCATAGTATTTAACAGCTCAAACACTAACCAAAAGGCTGGCAGTTCAAATCCACCAGCTGTTCCTTGGAAATGCTATGGGGTAGTTCTACTCTGTCCTGTAAGGTTGCTATGAGTCGGAACTGACTTGACAACACCTAACAACAAGACAATCTTTAAGCTGTAAAACTGAAACCAAAACCGTCCCCGGAAAATCATCTTTAAAGCAAACGATTGTATTTATAATTGTTGGATGTCATCTAATCTATTCTGACTCATAGCAATCTTATATTACAGAATAGAACTGCCCCGTAGGGTTTCCTAGGCTGTAATTTTTAGGGAAGACTATCACCAGGTCTTTTCTTCCTCAGTGCTACTGGTGAGTTCGAACAGTCTACCTTTAAGCTAGCAGCCAAGTACTTAACAATTACCCCACCAGGGCTCCTTCAAGCCAAACAATAGTTTAGCTTAATTAATAAAGAATATTTGCCTTAAGCATTGTACTCTTTGAAATAATTATCTATATGTGATCAAATTGAGAAATCAGAAGATTAAATGAGAAGCAATGCTTTAAGATCGATCATTGATTAGTTAATTTATTTTCCATGAAATGTCGCATGGAATCCTGCAAGTCCACAAGTTAGTTTATAACCCTTACTGGGGACTTGTTTCCATGGTGTTATTGTTAGGATTGTGTGTCAATCTGGCTGAGCCATGATTCTCAGTGGTTTGTCAATTTCAATGTAATCTGGCAGTCATATGATGCTGTGATCACTTCCATAATGAGGTTTCATATAATGTGATCACCTACATGATGGGATAGGCTACGAGTAGCCAATCAGTTGAAAGGGAGTTTCCTTGGGTCTGTTGCCTGCATCAGATATAAGTGGACATTCCAGCAAGGCTCGTTGGCTTTGGCTCTCTATGGATCCTGACGCTGGCTCCTGTTCATCTTGGGACTTGAGCTAGCAGCTTACCTGCGATCTTGTCTGCTGATCTTGGGATTTATCAGTCTTCGAAGAACGCAAGTGAGAGCCTTGCTCTCTGACCTGCTGATCTTGGGTTCACCAGTCCCTGTGGCTGTGTGAATCAGGAGAAGCCTCCAGCCAGACCTATGGATTTGGGACATTCCAGCCTCTACAACTGCATGAGCCATTTCCTTTATATAAATATACATATATATATATATATTTAAACACTTTACTGGTTTTGCTTCCTTAGAGAACCCAGCCTAAGACATTTAGTACCAAAAGTTGGGTGTTGCTCTAACAGATACCTAAAATGTGGAAATGATTCTGAAACTATAAATAGATAGAGACTGGAAAAGTTTTAAAGCGCCTAATTGTAAAAGCTTAGATTGTATTAAAGAGACTGTTGGTGGAATTATGGACATAAAAGACAATTCTGGTGAGGACTCAGAAGGAAGTGAGGAGAGCTGTGTTACACTGCGTATGGTGCAGATGGCAAGAATAGCAGCAGCAGAACTAGGAGACCAGCATGAGACAGCACTGGAGTTGACCCACGGAGTCAGAGGGCTGAATGCCTTTCCACAGGAGGCTTCCTGGCAGAGTAGGGTGCCTCTGAGCACTTATTGGTGGAGTGAGGCTTGCTGACACATGGAGCAAGAGAGCTGAGTATTTTCCAGTCAAATATTTATTGGTGGAGTGGGGTGCCTCCAGGCACTTATCGGTGGAGCTACAGAGCTTTAGAACACTTGTCCAAATAGGGCAGATGTGGGTGGCAAGGCCCAAGGGGCCTAGAGGCCAAGGAAGAAGGAAGCAGAAGCTGAGGAGACAAGGAACACAGGAAGCAGAACGGCCTCAGTTTCAAAGGGTAGGGCCAGAAACTCGGAGGTCTCAAAGTATGGAGTCACCACTTAGTTGGACTAGGAGAATGGTACCACCGAAAGCTGAGGGAGCAGAGTTGCCATTCCAGTGGGCCTGGAAAGCAGACCTGAAGCTCAGGGCTGAGGGGCCTCCACACAGAATCCAGAGAGTGTGGCCAATACCCAGAGTCTGGAGAGCAGGGCCATTGCCTAAATGGTCTCAGAGAACAAAGGAATATTTTCAAGCCTTGAGAGCTAATGTAATGTGTTCTGCTGACTTGCTTAGTGCTTATTATTGCTTCCTTCTCTCCAGTTTTTCCCACTTGTAATGGAGATGTCTATCTTGTGCTTGTCCCACAATTGTACTTTGGAAACAGTTTGACTTCAGCTGGCAAGGCTAGCAGCATGCCTTAAGTTTTCTACCACAGGTATAAAACAACTCTATAGCCCCATGTTGTAATTTAGTCCACAGGGACATTGATCGTCTTTCCCTACCACAAGACATCACACTGGTCCATTACATTGATGAGACTATGCTGATTGGATCTAATAAGGAAGAAGTGACAATGACTATGGACTTATTCGTAAAACATTAACATGCTAGAGGGTGGGAAATTAATCCACCAAAAATTCAGGTGACTTCCACCTCAGTGAAATTTCTAGGGGACCTCATGCCACCAAGAAAGCAATGCTTGGAGCAGAAAACATCCTTTTGACTCGGAGTTCCTGCATGGAGAATCTCCTAGACCAGGGGAAGATTGATGACAAGGTTCTTCCTCCAGAGACAACAAAAAAAGCCTTCCCCTGGAGCTGGCACCCTGAAATTGGACTTCTAGCCTAGTAGACTGTGAGATATAATTTCTGTTTGTTAACACCATGCACTTGTGGTATTTCTGTTATAGCAGCACTAGATACCCAAGACACATGGTAATGTACAATTATTAATGATAAACTGAGGTATAAAAGCCTATAAAATACTTCTTCTCAGGAGCATTTCTGGACTCTCTGATCAGAAGTATTGCCCAATTTGCAAGTTGTATGTTAAATAAGTTTCAATGCATTTATATTGTTGGCTTAATATTGATTTTATAGTGATACCATTAAGGGCACAACATTAAAAACAACTGAATGTGTTGGTGCTCTATAGTTCTCAAGTTTCCTTTCCCCACTCTCAGATATTTAATCTCACCTAGAAATGGGATAGAATCAATTTCCTTGCATCAAACTAGTGTTAATGAGATCTACCTACTGTGATGTTGATGGTTAAGGTCATGTGTCAGCTTGGCTGGGCCATGATTCTTACTGGTTTGGCAGTTATGATGTAGTTTGTCAGTCGTATGTTGAAGTGATCACTACCATGAGATTTGCTATAATGTGATCACCTACATGATGGGATAGGCTGTGAGTAGCCAATTAGTGGAAAGGAAATTTCCTTGGGGGTGTGGCCTGAATCCAATATAGGTGGACTTTCTGGGGAGGCTCACTGGCTTTTGCTCACTCTGCATCCTGCAGCTGGCTTCTGTTCATTTGGCCTCTGGTTCTTGGGACTTGAGCTAGCAGCTTGCCTGCCGATCTAGGGATTCATCATCTTCCTCGGCCTGGATCTTGGGTGCCATCCCCTGCAGCTACTTGAGTTGGGAAAAGTCTCCATCTTGGCCCATGGATTTGGACTTTCCAGCCTCTACAGTCACATGATCCATTTCTTTGATATATATATTTCTCTCTCTCTCTCTCTCTCTATATATATATATATATATGTAGATGTAAGACATATATATATATACGTGTGTGTAGATGCCTCACTAGTTTTGCTTATCTAGAGAACCCAGCCTAAGACACATGGAATAAGATGAAAGAAAGTATAGAAGGTATGCGCTTCTCCTATGGCAGTTCACTCACCACAGACAGGAGTAGTAGCTCATGTTGAGTCAGTTGCTTTGATGTATGGTAAAATCATCTCATATATTAGGAAAAGGAAGATTGATATTAACCAGAAGATCATACGACATAAGATGTGAGATTTCTTTTTAGATGTTCTGTCTAGAAATGAAAATGGTATATTGAAGTCTCCAACAATTTTTGTGGAATTGTTTATTACTCCTTTCACATCAATCAGTATTTCTTTCATATATTTTGAAGCACTGATGTTAGCTGAATATGTATTTATAATTATTATGTATTCTTGATGAATTGACCCTTTTATTATTATGTAATGTCCTTCATTATCTATTATAATAGATTCTGATTTAAAGTCTATTTTATCTGATATCAGTATAGCCATTGCTGCTCTTTTGGTTTACCAGTTCCATGGAATATTCTTCTCCATCATTTTACTTTAAGTCTGTTTGTATCCGTGTGTCTAAGGTGTGTATCTTGTAGGTAGAACACAGATGGATTATCACTATTTTTTAAAATTCATTCTGTCACTCAGTCTTTTGAATGAGGAGTTTAGATCATTTATATTTAAGGTAATTACTGAAAATGAAGTATCTACTTCATTCGTTTTGCTGATAGTTTTTGTCGGTCTTATATCTTCTTTATCCTATTATTTCCATATTTCTGCGTGTGTTTAGCTGCTTTTTTGTTTTTGTTTTTTCTTATTTCTTCCTTTTTCCCTTCTGTGTATTTTCTGTATGTATTTTCTTAGTGGTTACTACAAATATTACATTGAACAACTTACAATTACGGCAAACAGAGTTATGCATACCTATATTCATCACAGTACTACTCACATAGCAACAAAGTTGTAAATAAATTATGTGTCCATCAATGAATGAATGGATAACTAAAACGTGGTACATACATGCAATGGAATACTACTCAGTGACACAGAAAATGAGTTCACAAACCATCTCAGAATATGGATGAACCTGGAAGACATCAGTTTGTGTGAAATAAGTCAATCACAAAAGAAAAAAATAATGCATGTTCTCACTTTTATGAAATTACATGAGCAAGTAAATATACAGAAACTAATGTTCATTAGTGGTTGTCAGGGATGTAGGGGAGGGGAATTCACTAGATTGTAGACATTTTATTTTTATTTTTTTTTATTGTACTTCAGGTGAAGGCTTACAGAACAAATAGTTTCTCATGAAACAGTAGTACACATAATGTTTAATGACATGGGTTAACAACGCCACAACATGTCAGCCCTCTAAATTCTCAACCATTTTTTTTTTCTTGTGAATATACACATAGCCAAGCATACACCATTTCAAAAATTTCTACATGCACACTTTAGTGACATTCACTACGCTCTTACAATTGTGCTGCTATTCTCACTTAAAATGAAGGCTTACAGAACAAAATAGTTTCTCATTTAACAGTTACTACAAATGTTGCCCTATGACAATGGTTAACAATCTCACAACAAATCAACAATATCCTTACTCAACCTTGGGTTCCCTATCGCCAGCTTCCTTCTCCCCTTCTGCCTTCTGGCTCTTGTCACTGGACTACTGTACCTCATTAGTCCCATTTGGTTTTACGGAACTGTCCACTCCCAGGCAAAACGGTGAACCTTGGAGATAACTTCACCACTGAGCTAAAAGGGTGTCTGGGGGGCCATACTCTCAGTGTTTCTCCAGTCTCCTTTAGGCCAGTAAATCTGGTCTTTTTTTTGTGTGT